GGCAAAGCAGCGATCTCTCCATAAACACATTTTTGCGGTTTTATGAAAATAGTTACCTGAGTAGGCACACCTTAGAAGAGTGCTATCAGCACCAAGAATGACCTGCAAAGAAATAGCTTCTTGCCCTCCAAAGCTGACAGATATCCAAGGGCAACAGGGGAAGAAGGTTCAAGGGACTACAGACAAATGGGGGGAATGGAGGTGCTTCAGTGTGTGGTGGTGAGGTGTAAGGCTGAACTGAGAGCCCAAAGAGGGGCAAGGATGGAAGGAAAAAAGCTCTCTTCTCAAGCTATCAAACTGGATACTTTTTCCTAAAATTTACCCAGAGTGCTCTCGATTTTCACATGTACGTCATTTATTGACCAATAAAATAGATTACGAAACTATTACTAAGAAAGAATAAAAGAAAATTCCTACATATCCAGGCATAGATTGATTTTGTCAGCTCTACTTCAAGAGTGAGGGGCTTCGTAGCAGCTACAGGGATGCAAACCAGGACTGCCAGAGTCCCATCACCGTGTGTGGCCCTCCCTTCCCCATGCGTTCTTGCCCTTTCCTCAGACCTCATCACACCAGCCTCCAAAAATCTCCCCAAAAAGAGCTGGCGAGGGCACCAACTCTTTCAACACTCACCAAGAGTAAAAATGAAAAAAAGCATCATATACACACTTTATAGTGCATATTTTATTCCATTACTTGAAACAACTCAATGCCTACGCACACATTCAGTTGAACAGGTTAACCTACCTACTTAGGAGATAATTTTGTTTTAAGAAGCAGGAACAGAAATAGTCATAAGTGAAGACTTTGTTTATTTTATTTAAATATTTTAATAACTAAGGCTTATTTTCTTGTTTTGAATATACTGACATTTAGAGTATGTACAACAAGCAAACACTAGTCAGCATGCAGTAAACATATACAGATAGAATAAATGCCTTTGAAGGGTGGTGAACTGAATTTATTTTCAGAGGCGCTCATGTGAAAAGTGGTCACTACAACAAAAACAGAACACCATCCTGCAAAGATAAGTATTTTTTATTTATTTTGTGAGCAGAGTGCCTGGCATACTAAATCCCATTTTATCCATTAATAAAAAGAAACGTACAATTTAGAAATAGGTTCTAGCAGGTAATAGTATAAACTGCTGTTCATAATTGTTTATGACTGCTGTATCAATTTGGTTGAAATCAACGTGCAGACTTTAACTCTTTGCTAAAGCAGTGTGGGAGAAATTCAAGAAGTCAACTATTCTTCCTTCAGCAAAGACGGTACCAAAAGCACGATTCCAGTTTAAAAAAAAAAAAAAAGGAACATTTTTATTACATAACTGCTTATCACTGCTAGAATGCTTGAACTTCCCTCCTCTCATAGAAGAGATCTGGCTGTATCAGCTAAAAAGTTCTGTTTGTCCGGCATGTCTATGGAATTGTGAACAGATTTCCAAACAAATGGCTAAATCTAAAGTTCAATGACATCCACGGAACCCCACTGAAAATGGATAAATGGGAAAATATGAAGACAGTAGGTTTCAACTGCACTCAATCAAGACAGAATTTGGCTGCAGACTATTTACTACTTGTGGCAGTTTGCACAGAGAAAGCAATTTCTGAAAGCCTGGCTGAGTTTGCCTCTGACATCCATGAAAAAAATCTTTACACTTGTAACATGGAAAAAGCATTACTTTGCAAGTCACTCACAATATAGACTCGTTTGAACAGAACAATAGGTCAGAATAGAAAAGCATTTCTTAATATTGTATTTCCAAAAATGCATGCAACACTCAGTGTAAATGCTAAGACAGAAGAAAAACATAGTCCCACCTTCCCTTCCCAATGCCTAATTCATATTTTTACAAAATGAAAAAAGATTACTCACTCTGTCACGACGGCTGGCTATTTCTGCTTTAATCTGATATGGGTCATACTTGGTATTAGTTGAAAATCCAGAGAATGCTAAACAGATAGAAAACAGTAACTTTCTTTTTTTCTTCTTTAATACACTTGTTAAGATGTGGCACTATTTAACAGACAATTGCATTTATTCTTTGTGTCACAAGTCACTATAAAATAATTCTCTGTGCTAAAGTACAACTGAAGAATTACCTTTGGCCTGCCTGATTTTGTTTTTAGTCCTGAACAACAATAACAACAAAAACTGTATATAGCAGCACAGCACACACATTGCCTAAAAGCAACTAGCTTCCATGACGCGACGGTGGCATTTACTGATGCAAGAAATTTGTGTAACATGAACAATTGCTAATTGCTTCCTAGGTACGTTGACGTAACAGTACGATAGGAACTAAAGTAACAAAACTACCCTCAGAACAAAATTCAATCAGTTACTGAGACAAGTTGCCTCCTAAACCAACACAGTAGGGAACCGACGGACAGATCAACCTCTGGCAAGGGAGCTCTTAATACAGCATATCTGGAGACAGGCAATGATTTCAAGCTGTGGCATTACAAGCTAAAGCCTAGACAGATGAAGGAGAATATCCTAGAAGACAGGCTGGGCAAGACCAACCATGATTTATTGAGTGAGCCATTCAGGGCAGCACTGGCCCACTGAAAAATGCCGGTACGCAAATGGATGAGGTTATGCTGTTAGACCTACCATCCTTTGGTAGAGCCGTTGCTTTGAAATCTCTGTGCCTGCGTTGCACTGAGCCTTTCCACTCTCAAAAAATACTGCAATGCCAAGGTCACGTCAAGCGTGCAGAAACTTGCCAAAATGAGTAGTCATGCCTGGACTAATTCCCTAAATCCAGGATTTTCTATGGATTTTTTTTTTTTTTTTTTAAACAGTGCTGATCGCAACTGAGTCACAAAACTGCTGCATGGGCACCTCCCTGCCAACCCACAACCGCTGAGCTCACACCACCTCCCACTCATGAGCACACGACACTGAGTCAATGGCAGCACCCACAAGCAAAAAGGAGGAAAACAGTTTTTGAAGTTTTAGTTCTTTTAACACAACAGATTGAAACAAGTGGTGGTGGAGGCAGGAATACTTGCAAGATAAGCACCCAACTTGGGCCATCTAACTGCACTTGAATTAGAAGCCTAAGATTTCTGTAAAATAAATGGAAAAGCAAGCATCCCAGAGTAGAGTGGAGGAGTCGAATTAAGAAAAACAAGTGGAGAAGCCCTGGGGAATCTTGAGTTGACAGCATGATTACACCCCAGAGGGATTACTTTTTTTTTAAATATATCATCTGACTAATCAGCCCATACCAATTTCTCAAAACAGATGCATCTGACCTTAAACCAATATAAAACATATTAACATATCTGTAAAAAATGAAAATATTTTTTCACTTCAAAACAAGTGAAATGTTTTATTTAAAAGATTTTACAGTATCTTAATTCCATAGATATATCTAAAAAAAAACCCCTCTATCAGAAGACTGAGAAACATAAAAGTCAATTGATATAGCATCCGCATTCATGCTCCAGATAACCTCCAATTTTGTCATTTTCAGTCATATTTTGCTGCTGTTTTAAGCAACTTGTTTTTCCAAGAGCTTTAAAAATATGAAAAACGGGTTACATTTTTCTTCAACAGAAGTTTCTTTCTGTATATTCACCTGAAGTAATTCAACCAAGTATCCCACAGAACTATTGCAGATTTTCAAAAAACCAAAAAGTCCAAGCTCCTAGAAAAGTATTGTAATAAAGGTATATTTAGATTTTATAATCTAAAAATATACTGATGACACTACCCTTTACCCTATTCCAAGTCTTTAAACAGTAGTGAAACGCTCTTTAAATAATAACATCTTTTTTAAAAGTTCTCTTAAGAAACAAAATCTTTCTTAATAATTCTTAAGAAAGTTGAACATAACAGTGAGAAATAAAGACTAGTCACAACTGTTCAGTTATGTCACAAACTAAATCACAGAATACATACATTTAAAATTAAACAAAAAGATGAGATAATCCCAGTTCAACAGTAAAACACAGTTGGTCAAGACAACCTGGGACACCTCGGCCCTAGAAAACATCTTTTATTCAGGATTTTGGCACACATATGAGTTACCTTGGATTAATAAATACCACTGGATCAGTAGCTAACCTCTTCTATCCAGATGTCTGCTTTAACCCCTCCTCCAGAGCCAGGTTTCTTGAACATTTTCAGAAAGGGCTAAGCAGAGCTTCCCATACTTATCAAGAACTTGGCATTTACCAGCAAATCCTGCAGTTAAACAATGGCTGTACGCACGGTGGCCGCTGAAAAGCCACCAGCACAGTGAAACTCCACTACATTTCCATGTGGCTAGTGGGTATAGCCATTTGATACACTTCTTCCAACTAGGCTGTTTTGACTCTTCAGCAAAGACACCTTTTCCTGTTGCACCAGCCAACAGTCATAACAGCAGTGCAACAACTTCAGATTTCAGAAAAAGTGCTATCACCTACCCCAAGCTACCAGAGACCTCTGAAGAATGAAAAGGGCAGGAAATCAAGGCTCTACGACCTACACCACCAGCATTAGGATCAGAGGTGGCATTCAAGAATGAGGTGCACTAATAAAACACTGCTTCCTACTTCGTGGTCAGAGGTACTCTTGACCATAACACCTTGTCCCTAACTCCTTATAAAAAGTTGATAAACTAACCATGGGCCTGCAGAAGGCTTCCCCTAAGCTTATGTTTCCCCACCATATCAAGGATGGAATAATCTATGAATTAGGGAGTGCAAGTAGGTGGCTGCCAGCGAGATTCAGTCTTGCCTTTGCTGCCTTGCACCAAGCATCACTACAGCTGGCTCCAAGAGGCTAGAGATGCTATCTGGGATATATCCCTGTTTAATGTTAAAAAGGCATATTCTAATAGGCCTAACAGGAAATGGAAGTCCATGAATAGCAGAGTTAAAGGACAGTGCCTCACTTCTGTAGTCAGGATCTTCATTCAGAGGACAATCAGGTGATGGAAACACTTCACACTATTTCTTACACCACATGTTGTGAGAGGTAGGTGGGTAAATCAAGAAAAGACTCATAAACTCACAGCTGGCATAAGAACGGCTGTCATCCTCACACATTTTGTGCAATTGTTGATATTCTTCTTGTGCTAGTTCAAAACGCTGCTGCTTTATTTGGTAAATCTCTTTCTTGGCATTGAGTGCCTCCTGGGCAACTATTAAATATTCCTTTAGCATGCGTTCCTGCTCCCTTCTCCATTGCTCCCTTGGGTCCTCAATTTGTGTGAGCTCTAAGGAGAAAAGTAGAAAAAAACATTATAAGACACTTTATCCCACAAAGTACAAATTATTTTGTTAAGGTCTGTTCTCAACTAGCACACCTAACACTACAGTGCTCAAAATCACTCCAGCATGGATGAGAAGGAAGGATGCGGAGTGGAAAGAACAGGAAAAGCTGTTTCAAATATAAGGTGTTTAAATTTGATTCTTTTCTTTACAAACTAGAGTAACCCCAAAGAAAACAGTGTTTTGGCTCTAACCTTCCCTCATAGCCAACTTGAAAATTCTGAGAACTACCTAAAAACCCAGAACCATGCAGGAGAGTGAAAGGTACCTCAATGCTTAACTCCTAACTCTATAAATGGTTGGAACAACCGTAAGATACTACATACAACGTCACAAGTATAACATCCTGAAAGGTCAGTGACTACACCTGCGTAACTGAAAAAGAATAAGGTCATTCAACAGAAGAGTTAGCATTTTAATCTCAAATACATAAAAGCATTTAAGTTGCTGCTTTTTTTTTGTCTTAAGAATCATAGAATGGTTTGGGTTGGAAGGGACCTTAAAGATCTTCTAGTTCGAAGCCCCCTGCTGCAGGCAGGGACACCCTCCACTAGACCACATTGCCCAAAGCCCCGTCCAGCCTGGCCTTGAACACTTCCAGGGAGGGGGCATCCACAACCTCTCTGGGCAACCTGTTCCAGTGCCTCACCACCCTCACAGTGAAGAATTTCTTTCTGACATCTAATCTAAATCGACCCTCCTGCAGCTTAAACCCATTACCCCTTGTCCTGTCACTACAAAGGAACAGCACTCTCATGCTTTCCCTCTCCTGAGTTTAGAATGGTACATATTCAAACACAAATAAAAAATAGATTTCCAGTACAAAATCTTTCCCATATATACTGATTTTCAAAGTTATTACTGTACAGCAATCTCTCTGCAGTTGCAAAGACGTTTGAGGATGCATGCATTAAAATCCTAAAAAACTACTGGTTCAATTATTTTATTTTTGCGGTGATGCTCAAGCTAGCAAATATGTTACATGAGGATACCCATGTAAAGTCTCATGTTTAAGTGAATGTTAATTTCTGATGACTGAAGCTCTACCAGTAAGAAGTTGCTGCAGATGCAATGTTAGCGTTCAAAGTGGTGGCAGAACCTGCAGCAGCACAGTCAGGAGGTAAGCACCTAGTCATTTTTTCCAAACTTTGTTTCTCACGAGAGATGAAAGCCAGTTCTGTTTTGTATTAATCTTGTGTACATAATTCAGTATATTGGTGCCAGCGATGAAATAAGAAACTAAAAGATTGAGCCCAACACATTAAGAACTCTAACGGTGTCAAGGTCATGCTAGCAGCTCTGCCATTTGAGAGCCATCTGAAGAGTACGTAAACAAAAACATGAAGCTCATCTACGAGCAGTACTTCCAACAGATTTGTATATTAGGTTCCCAATAACCTTTTCTCTCAACACCTGTAACTTTTTTCTCCACAACTCCTCACACTGCAACAATATAAAGATGGTGCCTATATAGTTCTGTAATTTCTTCCCACATCCCAGGATCCCTCGATTCCCAGCAGAACCTTCTGGCTCCAATGCCCCCAAACTACCTCTGCAGCCCAGGAGAGGACGTGCTGTGGCTTGTTCCAGTCTTCATAAATTCTCCTCTGCGTGCAGGGCAAGCAGAACAAAACGGAGTTCACATTGCAGCCATTCCTTTACTGAGGGCATGATAATTTGCAACGCTATCTGTCCGTATGTATTCCTGAAATCTGTGCAAATTTAATATTCCTAAAACTGCTAATCTCCTGTGGAAACTATGTAGAAATAAATACTTACAAGACAGAAAAGCTAGATCCTAGTAAGTGTTTCTTTTTGAATAGGAAATTAATAGTTCTAATCCCAATAAACAGCCAAAATGTTATATCACACATTAAGCTTCTGAGGTCCTATACTACAGGGCACTGCATCTCTTACCAAATTATTTCAGAAGCCTTCTCAAAAGCTAGCAGCACTCTTCTGAGGCAGAAAACTTCTTCAGTACAGTAGTGACATTCTCTTCTGTTTTATAAAATACAGAGGCTTCACTTTGCCCTGGATTTCTACAAAAGTTTGCCATGTAACAACAAAACTAAAGCCACGTTGCATGATAAAATTCACTTTATTTCTTTATAACCAATTAAAAAAAAAAAAACCACCCTACAGTAATTCAAGCACAGCCCCAGACAAATGCAGAGAATATATTATTCCCTCACTGGGGAATGCCCAACTGGTTAAAGGAAACTTCAAAGGCTCCCAAGACTCTGAGGAGGAGGGAAAGGAATTCTGTGGCTGGCAGCCACCAAGGTTTTTAAGCAATGGTGGGACAAGAGCCAAGAGCAGCTTAGTAAGGGTGTCAACAAAGTACTGAATTTACAGAACAAGATGGAGATCAGGGTTGGAAGCACCACTGAGATTTAGAGAAGATTCCTCTGTTCCTGGGGTTTTTCAACAGAAATGGAAAGTTATTGCCTAGAAATCTTATTACTTTCTGGGTAAACAAACATAGCAAGAGGCTTGGAAAAATCAGATGCTTTCTTTTAAAAGGTGCAAGGGCAAAAACCTTGAGATGGTGCACAGAGCGAGAGAGGTCCTTGGTGGGCATAACTTTAGAAGGACTCACTTTGAATTGTCTCTTGCATTTTCTCACCGTATTTCTTGAAACCGAAGCACTTCTGTTTTGTCAATTAACACAGAACTCCAATGCTGTATAAAGCATTTAACCTGGTCAGCCACAAAAGGCAGTCCAAATGTTTTCACGTGAAAGTTGCCATTCCAAGTATTTTAGCCATAGTTCAGAATACAATATAAGGGACTTATTTCAGAAAAACACCTCTTCAGTTCCCACACCATCTCTGCCACTTGCCTGACACCATTTCATGATGCACATGATTGTCTACTCATTAGTTCTCACTTCTACAAAGGAGGCTAATGCAGTCTTGACTGGTATCTTTGTTGTCCACAGTTTAAAATTGGACTGAGTATCCTACTAATTTTTGAATAATGATTATACAGCTATAATATCAGTTCTCTCTTCCCTCTGAATATAAATCTTGCTTGTATATGCAAGCACTGTATTAGCCTAAGGGTGACAAACCCATTTTGCTGTGACGGTTGAATTACCATTTAGGATAATATCTGTGGGCTGCAAATAATTAGCTATCATGAAAGAGACAAATTTTGCAACCTTGTTAATTGCAGAATGATTCCTTTCACTCAGTTCAGCACTGAGCCTTATGAAGTTTCCACCCCTCTGTTCATATATTACCTTTATTTAATTCCTAATATGATTAGCTTTACTTTCCCAGACCCATTTACTTTAATAATCTCTTTCTGTGCCTTCCCACTGAGCATTTGGGAACTCAATTCCTCTCTGCAAAGACAGTTTTTTCTACAGTTTTTTCTCTCAATTGCATTTTTTCCTGTGCAAGACAGATCTGACATGCCTACAATGATTAATGTCCTTTCTGTAAGTTCAAACGATGTCTGTAGAAAAGCAGCTAATAACAAAGTCTGAAAAGCAAAAGGGAGTGATTTCTTTTGCATGAGATGGTGATTGTTACTCCTGTCAAAGATGCCTGTCGGTAGGATGCTTTAGTAGCTGTTTTAGTTACAACATTGCAATGGGAGTTCTTCTACTCATTGTCAAAAGGGACTCCTAAAGCCTTTTACACTTTTCAAGAAAAAAAAGGATGAGTTGCCAATATCCTCGTTTGTATTCTTTTTAATACGTGCATTCATGGACATGTACATACGCTGGCACAAGTGCACTCCATTGCTGTACTCCGATGTAAACCTCCCTTTTTATTCAACTTCAACATTAACTAAAGTCACTATGACAGTTTAAACAGCAATTATTAAGGTACTACTTCTTTTAGACAGAGTTATTGTAAGAATTACCTAACACAGACTGTATTTATCGCCTTTCAGATGTCTTGGCTATCTATCCTTGTGATCAGTGCATTAACAGCTCTTTAATGTTTATTATTTAATTTGTGATCTTTGTTAATTTCACAACAAATAAGTGCCTATGTGGGTCAAACAATATCACAGGAACATTTGTTATTCTGTTGTTTGGGGTTTTTTTTAAATAAGTAACTGTGAAACCACAATACACAAGTAATTCCAAGGATGGCAGGAAGCCAAAAAAACTGTTTCTACACTTTTATTTTTTAATTGACTAGATTTCAAGTAGATAGTATTGAGGTTGGTTTTGCAGATTATGCTATTTACCATTGCTGTGACAGCACATATAAATACTTCTTTTCTCCCTCCTCACCAACTGCCAATTCCCACAATATCGAAGGCATTCACTTATTGGTGATAAGAAGCTTAATGACAGCAGCACAACAGTAACAGCAGCAGTAGGACAAAGCTCTAAAGATAAGACTTTTTTTTAGAAGTAGAACTGGCATATGTGACAGAAAATGGTGAAAGAAAACTCAGCAATAGTCCAAAAGGGACGCTGGAAATTGCTCCCTCCTAGTTTCCAAAAGGCACATCTGCTGTCTTTTTGATAGCACTTTGTACTGTATTAAGGCACAAAACATATATTGCTTAAGAGAGGGTGAGATTATTGTATTTCACAGCGCTTCTAATGAAAAATCAGCACTTTTCTCTCAGAATATATTTTGGTTTTCCATATAGAAGAGTGAACTGTAGATGACTGAAAAAATAGGAAATACAAGAGTATAGCATGAAAATCATCTTAATTGATGCATGACAAAAAGCAACAACAAAATTACTGATACTCCACAGCAGGACAAAGCAAAACAAAATAGTTATAGTGTACAAAACTCAATCATAGGTTGTAAAATTCTTTACAAATGGAAGGATTGTACCTCTATTTGAAAGATGAGAAGACAGAGACTGGAAGAAATTATGTTCCTAGTTTTTCTCACTGTAGCACAAGGTGCATAAGTGGTATCAGAAGCAAAGTTACTGCCATCAGTTAACATCAGCTTGCTAGGATTCCTCAAAACAATCATATGTCTACTCACGATTTATGTGGTCCATATAATAAACTCCAATCTGTTGATCATAAACAGTTTCCCATCCTAAAGGAAGCTCATCACCAACACAGTCAGCAAATGTCAATGGCTTTGTAATCCTGTAAAAATACAAATAGCACAAATAAATACAAAAGGTGCAGAGTTTACAGTGCAATGAATGTTACTACACATTTGGAAGACACCTCCATCATTTGATCACAAACTAGTTATGCTGCTTAGGAATGTGCTAATAATTACAGACATACAGTTTCAAAATAAAATTTCATTTAAATATGCTGACAGATACCCCCCAAACAGGTAAGACGAGCTTCTCCCTTCAAGTTTCTATGTTTAACAGTTTAATTACAAAGGCATGCAGTCCTGCCAGTTTTCCTCCTATACTGCAAAGAACACAAACGTGAAGCTGGAGTTCACCACTGCTAAAAATTACTAGAAGCTTTACAGGCTTTAACTTCTTTAAGATGTCAAAGTAGTATAATTGTTTTTTCTTTAAAAAAATGAAATACAATTTAAGAAAACACTACATAATAGATTTCTCTTCTTCTCAATTATACATTTCCCACTATTAATGACATTCTCTTGGTCCAGACCCATCCGAATTACTTCCTCTCCCGCAAAAAGGAGACAAACAAATGTCTCTAAAGAATTCTGAGGCTATTAGAGTAGAAATAGTAACTAAAAAGTAACAGTATTACTATCTAGCAGCTTACAATATCACACCCCTTGCTAGGCAAACTCTTGATAGACTAGGGGTAATATAAAACCAAAACAGTACTGACAGGAATGTTGAAAATACTGGGTTACAAATTCTACAGAAAGTGTCTAAATCAACACTGTTCTAGAACATCAAGGTATATTAAAAAAACCTAGGAAAAATAAACGATGCAAATAAATTCTTAACATTCAGTTGATCCACGTCTATTCCCAAATCATCATTTCAATCATTACTTAATCCCTAAGTTAACATCATTTCAATTATACACGTGATATAGATCCAACACTTTCGATGTTTATTTGTTGAGGCATTTCTAATACCTAGAACAATGACAGCTTTGCAAGTATTAAATACATGCATTAATTTAGGGACTGACTTAAGTTCAGCATAACCTATGGCATAATACTGTTTGGCATAAAATGGAAAATCCATCCATATGTGATAATACCCGATTAAGGTCTCCTGACACCAGATGTGGACGATGTTTAGAGATACACTGCAGAACTGAGAGATCATTGGGACTGGTAATTGCATTTCATCTGGTAACACCTGTACAAAACAGTAACTTTATCTGAACTAAACCATGTCTAGCTTTGAACTAGAAATCCTTCCCCACCCCAAAACAAAACCAACCAGAAGAATCCAATGGTAAAGACTTCAAATGATGGAAATACTACTACGGCAACATTCTAGCTGTTCCAATGGCCCAGTAAGCACACAAAAAGCACGTAACTTTGCACACAGCAAACAGAAAAGCTGCATTTACCTGCCTCCTAAAACTATTTCAGTATTCTTGAGATTAAAGCGTTTGAAATTAACTGTAGTAGAATTAAAAAAAATATGGTCACTAGCTTAAATGTAACGTTTGAACAGGTCTGTACAACAGTACAAAGATCAAGTTATTTAGGTCAAATAATAAAGAGCTTGATCATATGCTATGGATTGTCAACTACGTATAAACACTTTAATAAAATTAAGATGTATATAAACTTGTGCACCACTGTTTAAAGTAAAAACTTTCCATTACTGACAAATACATAGTTTACATCATGTAATCATGCAAACCTAAAGCTGCTGTATTCAAGAAAGAAAATGTTACTATGGACTGGCATATGCATTCTTTCCATAATTCATCTAGCAGTCAGGCAGACCAAATATTGCCAAAATACTTCTGATCTCCCTGGAATTCAGTCAAATATTAAAAATATAACGTGCAGCAATTTTTCTTAAACTCTGATGGTTTTGTTCTGAAGACATCATGTTTACAATTTCTCAAAGCAGTCTAGACAGGCTCCTAAATTACCACACTATAGACAAGATTTTCTTTGGAATGAGTTACGAGACATGCTTGCCTGTTATACAAACACAGCCTCAGCCTTTATTAATAAATAAAACCTGCACATGATACTCTAACCTTTCACACTACAAGAACTTTAATTCAATGCTCCCCAGGATCCCACCAGGGCTCACAGACTTCCAAGACAAGGATGAGGCTCACTTTCTGGAAAAGGGAGACTGAAGAAAGCCCATGCATCTGGTCTAACCGGTTTTCATTCCGATGTTATAAAGTATGCATGAACAGTTTAATTAATGGGTTTGAAGGAAACCTTGTAAGAAAAAGAACACATAAAAAGCTGTCTTCCAGATATTCAGAACATTATTAACTTGATGTTGCTCATTTTAAATGATATTCAAAGTTGCTCCAAATTGGATTCCCATCAGACAAAGCATAACGTCACACTGATTCTCAATTCAGTCACATTTGTATCTATGGAGCTTGAACCTTCTTCATTCAATTCATCTAGGTCAAAATATGCAAAGCTTAAATTAAGAATTAGACGCTTCTCCTGTTTTGCACTTGTTTAACTAAGTCATCTGAAAAAATACATTTCTGGTTTAACCAGCAGAACTCTGAGGACAAGATTTTTTTTTTTCCAGTTAGGGAAACTAAGGGTTTCTAGAATAACAAAGACAAAATGGAACAGATGCAGATACGGATACTGGAGGTCAGACACAAATTACAGCAGTGGACTGCTGAAATTAAGTATCTTCCTGAAATACTGCTTTCCCCCCTTTTTTTTTTTCTTTTTTTTTTTTTAAATTAGCTTAAGCACTGTAAAATAGGACAGGTCTTTTCTACTTCTATATCAAGAATAGTACAAGGTACAAGTACATCTGTTAAAACATTTCAAAGCATTAAAATAAAACCAAAAAACTTTTCAAAGCCTTATAAAGACAAAGAATAAAAATGCTGTCATCTTTAATTAAATAAAAAACAGGGCTGCTCTGAACTATGCTATTCACAATAGTAAAGAGTAACTACGGCATTTTATTTGTCACTAGTGACCATCTCCTGTCTACCCTATGACAACTAGTAGACACTACTAAGAAGGTTCTGAAGTTCCAGCTGAAGACAGAATTCCTCTGGAACCAGTTTACAACACTAACTGTTTGCAGCCACTGGATCTACAGCCCAGGTACAAGTGACAGTCATCCACTGGGGCCAATTTTGCATGTATCAAAACCGTATCTTCAGATTAATTGATTCTTCATTATCTTGAGAAATGTCTGTCCTTTCCAAAAGTAATGATGATCTTCAGTTATGAGGCAGCCAATCTTCTGTGAATCTGAAACCCTTCAAAAGCAAATACAGAACCACATAGGGAAGCTTCCATAACCCAAATCCTGCACACCAAGCTGAGAGAAAAATCTTTGAGTATTGTCATGCACCTTGGATCTGTCATCTCTAACTCTGCCCAAATTAAATTTTTTCGTTAAGAAGAAATGGAAGTATTTGCATGCAGTAAAACAGACATAACTGAAAACCCAAGTTTTGTTAATATTTTCTCTGCATCAATTATCAAGCTAAACAGTTAGAATACAGAAATCAAACTACAAAATAAAACCAAACAGTTGAATAAAACTGTTTCTGACTAAGAAGTGGTTTTATTCCTCCTTGCATATTTATTTCATATCTTTATCCATTCCCCATACACAGAAGGATTCCAGAATACATTACTACAGCTTTCTGAATATGCAGCAGCAACAGATATTTCTTGAATGCATCAGTTCATGGCGGGGAGTGGGTGGGAAGCAAAGACAACAGCAAAAGGCAATGGCTAAATATAATTTTAGATAAATTACTACAAAACTGCTCTCGCCTTTAGTATACTTTGTTAACAGAATCTAATTTCAACCCCCCAAAAAACCCATGTAAAACCTCAACCTTTAAATAATAAAGGAACACTTCTGGGTTCAAAGAAAAAGCATACTTCAACTCTCCCAAACAGAGTTTGACTGAGAGAGCGGGGCAACAATTTCAATATCATGGATTTTCAAAACCAGAACCAGATCACTAAAAACACAAAGCATCAGAAAATATAAAGTAGGATCCTCAGTCTTCCCATGGCCCTGATGCCACATCAGAGGGCCCTGGCTGCTTGAAATCCCTAAGTCTAATTGAGCAAAACTTCCCCTGGGAGGAACTAAATTAAGACAAACAGAGCCTGTTTTTGCAAGATCTTGAATAGGAAATCAAAAAGGTGTTTCCAAAGTAGAAAGGCTGCTGCAAACGAGCTGCTGTCTCTCAGACAACATCTAGATGCCTAAATTACATCCAAGGTCACCTTATCTTCCAAGGTGAGCCTGGATTAAGAAGAAAGCACTAACCACGAGGGCTAACTATGAAAAAGAACCACCAAGTTCTGAAGAAAAGCCATCATTTGTAGGGGAGACAGCGGGAAGGATGCAAGAACAGCAACCACCAAAAGTGCTTTTATTTTTGTTCCTGATTCTTGTCAGGTCCAATAGCAGAGGCAGAAAACATCTAATAAAATTTGATACTCCTCAACAGACAACTAGGAGAAACATTCTCTTGAATCTGATCTCAGTCTGAATAGCTGTCTAATGGGATAGATGGGTTGCCTGACAAATGCGAATTACAGACTAGGAAACTGTATTCATTCACATTATGGATCTGAAAAATACCAGGCAGTTTAAAAATGAGTAACAGTATAACTAGAAAAGAATTAAACATTCTGATAAATCTAGCAATAGTTTATCCCAAGTAAAGTATTCCGCTGAGTATATTACTGAAGTGTCAGAAGGCCATAAAGAGAGAAGGCAAAAGGAGAAATCATGCACACACTTAAAAGCTTTCAGCTAAACATTTTTTTCTTACTTCCTTTCAAACATGAATTTAAGTTACAGCCATTGCTATAAAATTCAACCAATCCTCTTGTCTTGTATCATGGCTCTTATTCCCTCCAACTGTGCAGGAAAAAAAGAAAAATCCCAAAAAGCCCGAAAACAAAAACCAAGAAATTGAGTAGGAATGGAAGATGACTTTTGTGTTGTTTCACAGACAGGGCAAAAAGAGCTGTTTACCCTGAAAGGGAGGATGGGAGGATTGTTGTTTGTTTTTAAGAGTCACACTGCAGTCCTAGAGTCACCCCTTGGACATCCTCCACCACCATAGCTGGGGCCTGGGCAGCAGTGCACTCGGGGCCTGCAGGACCACCTCTGTGAGACACTGAGCCAGTCTGTGGCCACCCAGCTGTGCCATGGCCCCCCCCGCAGCCACAGGCCACCCCGCAGCTCCCAGCACGGTGACACCCAGCCACCCAGCTGTGCCATGCCCCCCCCAGCAGCCACAGCCCACCCGGCAGCTCCAAGCAGGCTGACCCGAAGAGAGCACCCTCCTCCTCAGCAGCCGCTGCCTCCCAACCCACCGAGCAGAGCAGGGACACATCCCGCACACGCTGCCCGGCTGCTGAAGCAAGGAGCTTCCTACACGGTTCAGAAACTGCCGTGCACCAGCTGCACCCACGCCAGCCAGGCACGGGCTGTTTGCAGCAGATGCTGCCATGAACTCCAGTCCCCCTGTTACAGCACTCTGGAGTATGCCTTGGTTTTCCTCACTGTCTGTCCTCTATTACGGACTCAGCTCTTCTCGAGTAGCCAAGTCATAAAAAAGAGCTGGATTTTGAAACAAGGTTTGGCAAATTACATACTGAGTGCTTAGCCAAAAGTGTAACAAAGTTCACCAAACTATATGTATGTTGTCAAGATAAAAATGCCTTATAGCTTCTTTCTTAATCCAAATAATGTATCTTCATTTTACTGCATAATTTAACCTCGAGTTCTGAATTAAATAACCTACTGAACATCTACTCAACCCTTCATTAAAATAAATCCACAATACAGATGTCCAGACAGAAACTTGCACAAATGAGATTCTGTGCTCAGGACAAAGACTTAAAGAAGGTAACTTGTATTCAGAGTCATCGCTGGGATACATTTCCCTTAGAAATCAAATGCTACCCTACAGCAAGGAAATAACAGCACCAGTTCTTCTAAAGGTCACTTGAAATTCAGTCTGTAGACCACACTGTATTTTGCAGTAATTTTCATTCTTTTTTTTCTTTTAAACAACTGCAAAGAAGCACATGAAAGAGTGCTAATAGTGTCAAATCAGTGTATTTGCTTCAATTAATTTTACAGTAACATAAGCCAACACACATACATCACACATACACCAATACGCAAAACAGAAAGCACAGGATGGCATTAGCCAGCTACAGTAACGAATCAACATCTTTAAGTGTGGAGAAAAATGTGCGTTCATTATTAGACGATTTTTTAATTTTTTTTTTAAATGCAAACAAGCATTAACTGCCTTTAACACATGGTACTACAAACCTGGACAACCTACGCTGAGAGAGCTGACAAGCACGTCACTGCCAGAGACATTTGAGTTATTTGTCCATCATTACCTCCTGTGCCACCGTTTGCCACTGTTTACAGCATGGCAAACAAGCTGATGGCAGTTCCTTTTAATCCCACTCTGTAAGCTACACTGCTTCAGGAGCTGGGTAAAAAGCAGCTCTAACATCTGCGCAACAGGGCGGCATAGACAGTAACTTCATCAGCCATCCTATTCCTCAGTCGGTAACTGCCCTTGTTTTACAGCCACCTGAGCTTATGTGGGTCAAGAAAAGTAAGCAGTATCAGCTATCTACCTCTCTTGTGACCTTGTGCTGAAGAAAAACAGTCAGAAAAAACAGAAACAACATTATAAGAACTCAGCGGATTCACCAGAATGCACGAACACTCTATTTTGGCACCCAAAACCTGAACGGAATGATTTTGTTTCCTACAGTGTTTCAGATCATCACGTCCTGTGTTGTGCACTACATTGAATCAACTGACTCCAAACCAAAAAGAATTCACTTTTTCATGTTAGGCAGTCCCTTTACATTTTTTAAATCTAACATTTTTCTGATGGACAGGATATTACACACGTATTAGATGAAAACTGTTCATCATATGCAATGTATTCACTGCTACATATAATGCTAATAGGGCAGGTCGCCACAAAACCCCTGAACAATTAGACTTTGTGATGCAAAAATGTATGTGAAGCTACATGTATGAGTAAGAGATAACCTATACAATTTGTTGATTTAGAAGCAGTAACAGAAGTTTTTATTCCCTACAAACACCTACAAGAAATGTACCTGAGGACAGCCCCTAACCTCCTGTCACTATTCTAGAAACAACAAATATTTACCAATAAGCAACAACAGAGGATAAAAACAAAAGTATATTATTTCTTTCTCATACTCCCAAAAAACAAAACAGCTAATAAATACTGGCTTAGCATGCTGAAACATAAAATAAAATGCTATGCAGCTCTCACATAACTTGTCTGGCTGCTCAGGAACTGCTGAAACAGTTCCACACAAGCAGCCAAGTCTTCCAAGCTGCTATCCATTCCTTAATAGCAGCTATGATCCATATCCAAATTCAGAACACAAATATTATGGGAAATTCTTGCTGAAAAATATACCCACATTTAATCAAGAGGACCGAAATTCCTCCTTCAAAAATTGCAGCTGGGTGAAAAGCCAGTGTTTTTAAGAAAACTGCTTTTGTTTCTACTTTTTTTTTTTTTTTAACAGATAAACAATAAAAAAACATGGGGGCAGAGGGGTTAAGACCATCCATGAGCACTTTAAAACGTGTTTTGTTTGTGTACGCACAGATAGCCCAAAGTCGCAGGCAACTGTACAAAGCCACCATCCAGAACCTAAGATAAGCGGCAGGGCAGAGGCAATCGCTGGCAGGGCTGGCTGAAGGACGGCAGTCTGGGCAGCAGGTGACTTGACCTCTAGACCAGAAAACAGACAAAATTACATATGCCAGCTGGGAATAAGCCATAAGAGGAGGACAGCAAGAACATGCGGCAGATAAGACAGTTAAAGGGGGGAAATAGGACACTACAGTTCTACTAACCTGATGTCAAATTGGACCTTCATATTGAATACGTTCTTAGCTAGAAACAGTAATATGCAAGATATTTACGACTTTTCTTTTGCCAATCCTAATAAAGCTGCCTTTGTTACTCAAAATCTAAATATTTACAAGATCTTCTCAAGGACTTGCATATGAGGAGAGACTTAAAAAAAAAAAAAAAAAAAAACCCAACAGATTAAAATCAAAAGCCTAAACTAAAAGATAAGGAAAATTTAATGGGGAACTTCAGAATCTGAGAAGAAAGCTGAGTTCTTCCACCTGTGTAAGAAGCCTAACATGACTCTACACCTGTACTAACACAGCACAGCTCTACAGCGGGCAAGTAAAGCAATGTTCTAGTTTTACTGATTCTGAATCAAGGTTTATAACTTTTTCACAAATTTCTGTGAATAACAGTGTTTTCTAGCTACATACTATTGGTAATTAAGTTCCTAGCTAGTAAAGGCCAGCCCTGTAGTTATCTGTTTATTTCTTCCATCCCGCAAACTACAACTCTGCACACTTCTGCTGGAGAAGAGCAAGGCTGGCAGCTGTCAGATTTCTACACCCTCTGTACATATAAAAGCCTATTTCTATGTTCAGTTCAGTCTAACAAACTGCTTTGGCAGTTGTATCCTTAATTTTGCAATGACTCTTCTGGTTTGCAAACTGAAATTTCTGACTAGCTTACTTGGCCACAATCCTGCCCACCAGTTAACTAAACCATCATAGAAGAGTCACTGGGAGAGGTGATGAGTTGCAACACCCTTACACAAGGGACCGTTTATGTGCTTGTGTGTAAGCATACACATACACACACAAAATTGTTCTCTTCTGACTGCTGGTCACAACTTGTGTATGCAACTACCAGATGAGGAGGAAACACCTGTACTTTCCTAATGGAAGTCATCTGAGCAAGGGTGAAAAGGTGCATCTGCATGACCTTTCCAGCAAGTTCTTAGTAGTAAGCCCTTTGCACAGGAACACGGATAACAGGAGGAGTTCAAAGCAGGAAGAAAATGAAGCAGACAGGAAAAGGGAGGTCCCCAGCAGACCAGGAGGAACAAAAACGGGACATAAAACTCCAAACTGAAGTCTGTGAAGTTCTATATGTTAGAAGAAAAGGCGGCATCAAAAGAAGCTTTACATCTCAATAATAAGTAACTAAAATGGTCTTAAATGCTGCAAGACACTATCATGCAGTGCAATACTTCCTGCAGACTCTTGCAGGATCACTTCAAGTTTACATCAAAAAAGATTAGCACATCATCACCATTACATTGCAACCTTCATTTCTAGTTTATTATGGTATCTTGGCCATCTTCACAGTAGTACAGAAGCAAAAGGGTAAAATTCTTCAAAACTGTCTTTCATCTGTGTTCTCTTACTAACCTCATGTGCCCTATATCCAGAAATATGCCAGCATTTGCTAACTAACTTGTTACACTTAAGCCTGACCTTATTAGTCTAAACTTTTCTTCAAAATTTTCAAGTCTATATGATTACCCCAAATATTATGGCAGAGATTTTTCTAAAATGTTCTATCAGCCATTGTAAATTCAAGTCTCTGTACATTTACAATATTTAGCTCTGCACTGCTGAAGGTCTCCCCCTCATTAACTTTATCATTCTTCTTTACCAACTAACCAGATTGGAAATAATTAACTATATACACGTGTGTGTGTATATATATATACACACATATATACTCACATACACGCATGTGCGATTTATCGATTTACCCAAATACCATTAAGGTGTCAAACAACAGAGGTTTAACTTAAACATTCCTCAATAAAGACAGCACTGTAAAACACTTTTGGGAACACTTTAAATCACTTTAGACAAGTCTCAGTCAGTAAAACTGAGACTCTTATGTTAACTGGTCATCTTTAGGCTGACTAGAAGGCAAGTAGTTGAAGATGCACAGAGGTTACCACCAGAATCTTGAGGTATACACACAATTACATCCTGATGTGGTCTACAGCAGCTTAATAACCAAAGAAAACCCTTCTCATACACTGAGAAGGCCCATCATGCTAGAAAACATGCAAACATGATGCTAACAGGATTCTTCTGTAGTCTGGAAGAAACAATGTTTTAGAATCAGCTATAGCCAAACTATACTTAACTACTAGTGTTCCCTTAGAGGTAAATTGGAAGTCTAATGAGATTAGAAACAGACACCTGTCATGTCTACGTACACAAACAAGCTCAGCACTACTGTCAGTGAAAATGTAAGTAATTTGATGTTTTAAAATATTTTAAGCCCCAATCCTCCAAAAGTTTACTATACTTGGAGTATATTCAATTAAATTTTACTGAAATTAATTTCATGAAACTATTTCCACCAGTAAGTATTGCTCAATGATACTAATAAAAAAGAAAACACATGTTAAAAGTTACCAGAAACCGTTTCTAGAGAAATGAAGCAGAAAGTGACAAACAATGGGAGGAAAAAGTAAATGCAACTGGACTGAATATAAAACAATGGTTGGAAAAATATATATTCAAGAGACCATTCTTTTCAAGACTCAGAACAAAGTGATGTGTAGGTAAGTGCCAAAAGAA